GACCAAGCGTATTATCTAAAGATGCACAAACAAAGTCATTCAAACAGCTCCATTTTCTCACACACCCACTGGATTAGTTATCTTCATGTACACACACACATACTCTCTCAAGCATTTTCTTGCTACTTGAGAGCCCAATGTTCACTTCAAGGTAGCACTGAAAGACCTTATAAAGGTTGTCATTGGATTCAAGTGTGTAGCATCAGAGGCATATGTGCAGGAGACATATAATTGTATGAAATGAATGGAATGGGACAAATGGGGCCTCTGTAGTCCCGCCCTAATGTTAAAAGAGCCAATCACTTTTTAATAAAGGTGTAATTTAAATATATATATTTAAAAAATAAAAAGGGGCTTTGTTACCATAATACTTGGAAGAAAATGTATTCATACTTTATGGACTCATATAGTGTGATCAACGTGTGTTGCAGCTCGTCGTCTGCAGAATGCCACACAGGACGTCCAGCGGGTGTCTCAGAAGGAGTGGTGGAGCCCACGCTGCCGCAGCGCCCCTTCCTCACGCTCGTCTAGCCCCGCCTCCTCACCCTGCCACTCGCCCTGTGATAAAATGTCTAAATATACTTATATATAATGTTTATAAAGAAGAAGTTCTCTCCTTCATTTCAGGTATAATGTTTGTATCATGGCATATGGGCAAACAGGCAGTGGAAAGACACATACAATGATTGGCTCCCAGTCTGAGGATCCCACAGCTGCAGTGCAGGACTCTCATCAGGGCATCATTCCAAAAGCAGCCAATGAGCTATTCAAGTAAGCCTCGGCTCACATCCCTCTCACAGCACACTTAAAATCACTACACATTTCACTCATCTACAATATTATAATAAACAGTCTGTCTGCATTGATAAATGTCCCAGGCTGATCTCTGAGAAGCCAGCAGACAGTCATATGGTGGAGATGTCAGTGGTGGAAGTATATAATAATGAAGTTCTGGACCTGCTGGCCAGAGATGAAGGTGGGGCGACAGTTGGGGTGAAGAGAGAGGTCATCACCACCAGCACAGGCACCAGTGAGGTGCCCTGCCTAACATATGAGTGAGCCACAGCAGTCAGCATGAAGATACAACCCATCACACATTTCAACTTTAATAAATTGTATTTTAACAATTTCACAAGATACAATGCAGTGCCAATAATAAAATGCAACAAACTATGTAATCATACAAAAACAAAGTTATCAACTTTATGTATTAATTTTTATATCAGTTTTAGAACATTAAGTTAAGCTAAATGAAAAATAAATTTTTATTTTGTTGATGTCAAAACATTTTTCCTATTCAGCCTATGTTATGTTATGATTTTACGTATATATTGATCTGTGCGGTTTGTGGTCATTTTAATAAATAATATTTGATATTTAGGACATCTTCCTTTTGTGCAATATATTTTTAGTCGTGTTAATGCATGTATGGGTTGCATTTAAGTTTACAGTCAGCATATATTTTTTGTTTGACTTTCTTTATTGTACTTTGAGCTTTTGCTGCATGCACACGACTGTCACGGGTTTGCATGTGTTTGACTTGACTTGTTTGTGTGTGTGTCAGGTTGGTGCGGAGCTCTGCAGAGGTGATGCAGCTGATCAATTCTGTGTTAAAACTAAGATCTCACTGTCCCACCCTGGTGCACATGGACTCTTCCAGATCTCATTTCATCGTCACTCTCACCGTCACCTCCAAAAGCCCAGATGCACTGGCTCTAGGTGTGATATAAAGTGTTTCTTCAAGAGTGCCAGTCCCCAACTCACACATTTTGAAGCTCTAATGTTCCCTCAAGCCATACGCCACTATCTGCAGCACACGCGGTTATGGCTGTTAAGTGAGACCAAGCGTATTATCTAAAGATGCACAAACAAAGTCATTCAAACAGCTCCATTTTCTCACACACCCACTGGATTAGTTATCTTCATGTACACACACACATACTCTCTCAAGCATTTTCTTGCTACTTGAGAGCCCAATGTTCACTTCAAGGTAGCACTGAAAGACCTTATAAAGGTTGTCATTGGATTCAAGTGTGTAGCATCAGAGGCATATGTGCAGGAGACATATAATTGTATGAAATGAATGGAATGGGACAAATGGGGCCTCTGTAGTCCCGCCCTAATGTTAAAAGAGCCAATCACTTTTTAATAAAGGTGTAATTTAAATATATATATTTAAAAAATAAAAAGGGGCTTTGTTACCATAATACTTGGAAGAAAATGTATTCATACTTTATGGACTCATATAGTGTGATCAACGTGTGTTGCAGCTCGTCGTCTGCAGAATGCCACACAGGACGTCCAGCGGGTGTCTCAGAAGGAGTGGTGGAGCCCACGCTGCCGCAGGGCAGCCTCATCACGCTCGTCTAGCCTCGCCTCCTCACCGTGCCACTCACCATGCCCCTCCCCCCGACCCAGCATCACACAGCCCCCCCTCAAAACCAAGCTGCAGTTGGTAGACCTGGCTGGGAGTGAGTGTGTGGGTAAAAGGATGCAATGTTGTGCTCCGTCTGCCAAAGACATCATGAGTAGTTACTAGTTAAGCTAATAAAACAAAACAAAACACAGTAACCATGTTCAGTCATCAGGTCATTAGATAAGGTTTATGGAGTGTTAAATCTCGTCAGATTTTATTGAAGTGCTGCTAGTAAATGAAGATGTGAATAGACTTTCAGCACTAGTGCTTATCGGTTTTTAGGAATGTCAGGTGTGACCGGTGCCGTTCTGTGGGAAAGCTCCTGTATAAACCGCAGCCTCTCTGCTTTGTCCGATGTTCTGGGAGCTCTAGCCGAAAGACGACCTCACGTACCCTACCGCAACAGCAAGCTAACACATCTGTTACAGGACACCATAGGTGAGAGCAGATTTACTGTGAAACACAACTACCTTACACATGAAGACTGTAAAAACAGCACTTGTTCCCTATTCTGTCTAAAAAAAAACTGTCTGTCGGTCATTTATTCTGTCTAGCTATGTATCATTATATCATTGTAGCTATTGTTCCATCCATCCATCCAGAAAATAGGGATAAAGACGAGCCAAAATTTTTTATTTGCATGTATTTTGGATGTCATTTATAACAGTACAGCTTACTTGAAAAAAATAATAATACTAATTTTATTATTATTGGCAATGTGATTTTAAACATTAGGTATAATGGTTTATGTATATTATTATTTATCTACAAAATTTTGACTTATGCCATATGTTCTTTTTCGCCTGCTCGGGTGTGTATTGTGATCGGCACTATATAAGTAAATAATTCTGGGGCAGTCATGGACAGTCTGTTGTCCCTGTTAAAGGGGTCCTATTATGCCTTTTCACTTTTTCAACTTTAGTTAGTCTGTAATGTTGCTGTTTGAGCATAAAAAAGATCTGCAAAGTTACAAAGCTCAAAGTCCACTTCAAAAGGAGATATTTTATTTAACAGAAATCACTTTTCAAAAACTACAACGAACGACTCGTTTGGACTACAACACATATTTTCCGGGATTTGTGATATCACAAATATTGACGAATGGGACGAGACCTGGTTGAGCTGCACTAGAGAAGGCAACGAGTGTTATCACTATGTCGGAGACACGCTAGCTTTCCCAAGGCAGACTAACTTAGAGTGGTTACAATCATCCGGGTTTAAATCACACTCAAATTAATTTGATATTGACGCAATATTTACACTGAAGCTCGCAGGCGGCTATGGTAAGGAGCATGACATTTCCCGATCAGGCGCCGAGTGCTGCCAATCACAACACACACTGGCCCAGCTAACCAATCACAGCACATTTCGTATTTCAGAAGGCGGGTTTTCATTTGATACAGGAACTATTCGAGCCATTCATGCCAGACTGGGGAGAGAGGTGTTGTAATAATGTAAAATATGTGAAAAATAATGTGTTTTTCGAACAACCTAGTATGAGAGCCTGTTCTAGTACACCCCCAAAACAAAATCAAGACTTTGTAAAAGAGCATAATAGGACCCCTTTAAATAAATTATGAACTTGAAAATGCATACTTTTTTGCACTTATTGGCCTCTGAATAAAGATTTTATAAATTTTTTTTTCCTTGTATATAATGCGTGACACGAGTTTCCTTTGCTTTTATTTGAACCACAGTTGAAACCAGTTCAACCAGTCAGGTTTTAACATGCCACAATAAACGTCATAGACAAGGCCTGCCTACATTCTTCCCTCCCGAGCCTCACCTGACCATCCTTTTGACATCTTTTCTGTCCCCTTTCTGCCACAGGAGGGGATGCCAAGCTTCTGATAATGCTGTGCGTATCTCCCACTCAACGCTTCCTCACCGAATCTCTTCAGTCCCTGGGGTTTGGTGCCAGAGCCAGACAAGTCCAGAGAGAGCCACCACGCAGGAAAAACACAGCCCTGAAGATGAAGTGACCAAAAGGGAGATCCATTTGATAGCTGCTTGTGTATTTTTATTTTGATGTATTTTGGTCACAGGTTTATGGTGCTCAGATCATATTGAAAGTTGCAGTGTTTTGTAAGAAGACTTTAGGGTTAAATTTATGTTGATATCACCGTAGCGTATGCTAATGCTTGTTAGTGATTCAATATTGTCAATTTTGGACAGGTTACACACAATCTCTTGCACATTGGGGATATGTTTATAGGTTTTTGTGTCTAGTGTGAGTGGAATACTTCAGATTGTGTGTGTCTGCAATTATCCATTAATTTGTACAAAAGTTTTGATGTGATGATGGAAAATGTATGGCTTTTAAGTCATAGTGTTTGCAACCTGACTGTAGTTGACCTTAAATTTTACTGCAAGGTAACTTGATGCCTTTCTAATGTATCACTTTTATTAATGTTTAAAAATGATAATAAATTGTATTTCAAATATTTTGTCCCATTGTTGCCAAAGAGCACTGATGTGATATTTCTTCCCCAGAGTAGTATAGCGCTGCTGGGTCGTGTCTTTCTTTATTTACATATTCGTCACAACCAATCGGAGCCTTCTCGTGCGTGATGTAACTTGAAAACACGGAAGTGTCAGTGTAAGCGTTACTTCAGCGGAGACTCGTTACATTGCGCCGTAACTGCATCTTCATTATCTAGAAGAAGAACACGCTTGTCTGACGGACGATTAAATATTGCGCTCGAGCTTCTCTTAGTTTTTAGGCACTTGCAACATTTTAGCGCTAAACGGCGGACAGGTGAGTTTATATGTCACTGCAATCTAATAAGTGTAATATAGTGGTAGTTTGATTTCAGCGCAATTTGGCAACATTTGAACAGTCTTAATGTACAGACGTGGCCCATATTCCATCCATATGCACTTTTTTTTTAATTAGAGTCGCGTATGGGGGGGAAAGCTAATTATGATGCATTAAAAAAAATATATATTTTCCTCAGTATTGCGCGATAAAACAGCGCAGAATACTGTTTACAGCATGTCAAAATCTTGAACTAACAGATTTAAGTTGTATTTACTTTTAATTATTATCTAGAATAGCTCATAGCCTATAGCATTGTTAGCCTGGTCATAATCATGTCATAATCATGTTAATATGGGCAGAGAAGTATAAAATCCTATAAACGTCCCAACGTACTGGACTACTAATTACCACTCAGTATTGTTGTATGGAAAAATAATTCTCTCTCATTTTTTTCCCACGTAATGACACGCATATAAAGATATTTTAGGTAAAAAAGATGGAATCATTACAAAAATGCATCTGGTGTCAGGTGTGGAGCTTCATTCTCACGTTTTGACATTTCTAAATTGTATTTTGTCTAAATAGTTTGCAGCTTTATTCATCCATCTTTCACTTTGAACAGCATTACAGTCAAGATGCTTAAAGCCATCGGTCAAACTTTGTTTTCTTCTGGACTCCAGCACCCAAAGTTCACTGCTCAACAGAGTAAGGTTAGTGTGTACATGGGTGATTTTGCCAGAAACCTTTCAGACTTTACTGCAGACTTTGGATATGTTAATTTTTACTTATTGCTTATTAGCAAAGATAATGCTTAGTTCTTGATGTAGTCCTAGACTCATGTCTAGATTAAAGCAGACCTTGTTTATTGTTTTATGGCTCATATGTTTCCAGTCATATTTGATCATTTGATAATAGATGCTTTTTAGGGTGAAGACTATGAGGTCCGCACTTACCACACAACAAACTGGGTGAGCACAGCTATGACTGGCATGGAGCAGGACCCGGCCCTTGGCACAGGCTTCAGAAGACTCTTCAAATACATTCAGGGGAATAATGACAAAAGTAAGTGGTCATGTTCCTGTAGGTGACTAGAAAGCAGATTTTTCTGTAGTAGACATTCAAGATTAGAGCTTTCAGCCATTATTTCTGCATTTTGGGCCTGAGATTATGACATTTTCATTACACAACATGTATACAGTGGAAAATAACATAAGCACATAGGTGAGAAATCACCTCATGCACAAAGCCAAAATTCAATTATGTGGAAATGAAGGGTTTCTGTGAGCTACATGACTGCTATAAATAAATCTCACTACCAACATAAATCTCGATATGCCTTTATAATAATAAAAAGCATGTGGCAGGTTGTGTTCCCACAGAGTAAATTGTGCTAATGATTCACCAGATGACATTGCATTTGCGAAATAGCTTTAGCGGATATTTCAGACACTGAGATCATTGCATGTTTCTGCTCCTTTACTTATGCGCTTGTCCTGTACGTCATGTATCAGAGTGTAAGGTGGAGATGACAGCACCAGTGAGCTGTCTGATTGAGCCTGGTGCAGGACCCGCTTGTGAAAGCACCTTCACTGTGTCCTTCTACATTCCTGAGGAACATCAGGCTGACCCACCCAAACCCACAGATCCAGATGTTTTCATCGAGAACAGAAAAGAGGTCACGCTGTTTGTGAGGTATGTTTGTGTCAAAGGCTTTTATACTGTAAATGAAAATGCTACACTAGCATTCAAAATTTTGGGGTCAGTTTTTTTTTTATGTGACAGAAAAACATTTAGAATTTTGAAAAACATTTCTATTTTAAATAACTGCTGTTATGTTGAACTTTATATTAATCAAAGAATTCTGAAAAATCACAGTTTCCATAAAAATATTAAGCAGCACAACTTTTCAACATTGATAATAGGAAGAAATGTTTCTTGAGCAGAAAATCAGTACATTAGAATGATTTCTGAAGGATCATGTGACACTGAAGACTGGAGTAATGCCTGCTGAAAATTCAGCTTCGCCATCACAGGAAGAAATTATATATTAAATATATATATTTTAAAAAGTTATTTTCAATTTTAATAATATTTCACAATATTACTATTTTTACTGTTTTTTTTTAATCAAATAAATGCAGTCTTACTGAGCATAAGAGACTTCTTTTATAAACATTAAAACGTATTAGACTCCAAACCTTTGAATGGCAGTTTATTTTGCAAGGGATTTTAGATCCAGGTCAAACCAAGTGTCTTGGAAAAACTACATTACTTTTCTCTGTTTGTTGTCATAGCTTCACATTTGCTTGGCCTTTGAAGGGATTTGTGGAAACTGTGGTTCCTAATTATTGTGATCCAACATTTGCCTCGCATTTCAGGATGAAAAGACAAATATTTCAGGTGAAGGATAATCCACTTCTTACCTCCAAGACTGTGTTATGATCTATATGACCTTATTATTTTTATTGTGAGTATTGGGCTTATCATTATTGCTGATCATTGTTGTTGTGCTATGATATCGTAATATTTACCATGATATAATCAGAGGGTATAGAAAAGTTTATTAACGTGTCACTCCATAATACAATAGCAAAATATATAAATATGTATAGTATATTTATGTAACATTAATCAGTATTTAGCACACAATAGAAGACATCGCAATTACCAAATGATATTTAGACAGACTTAAAGAAGTTCCAGATCTATACTTGTGCCCTTATTATTTCAGTTATTTTGCCTTTAATGTAAATAAACATGTGCAAACAATATACTTGCCCTTGTG